TCTATTTTTTTATAAATTCAAACATATTATTTTTAAAATAATTTTACATATAAAATTTAATTTATATGATAAAATACATAATAATATTAATTTAAATTTTCTAAATGTAAAAATAAAATTTAATTTTTAATCAACTATAAATTATGTAGTAAATAATTTTTTAAATATGAAAAGTATTAATAATATATATAATATTTATCTATTTAAATTTTTTAATAAATATAATTATTAATTATTTTAAATAAAAATTTTAATCTAATTCTTAATTGATTATAAGCTCTTGAACTGAAGGTTGCAGGCAATTTAAATTAAAAGATATAATAATTCTCCAGATTTTTTTTAGATATTTTTACCCTATATATAACACGATAATTACTTTTTAAAAATAATTATATTTTTATTGTATTAGTAACTTTCGTTAATGTAATTAATTCTCAAACAAAAATTTGTTTATTTAATTTTAAAAATCAATAATATTTCAGTCTTGTTCAATTTTCTTCCTCCCCTGGGAATCGTTTACCTCAAAATTCTTGTGGGAAATACCAATGAGCAGTTAATATTCCTCCACAATAATAACAAAAACTTGCCACTAAAATTTCATTGAACTCAATTTCTATGCTATATAATTTTACATTATATCAATTGAACTAAAAGTCTAGAATAGAATGACCCCAAACATTGGTAAAGAATACGATGGCACTTTACGAACTATTGATAATTTGGAACTTAAGAGGAAAAGTATGCAGGGTACACTTGAAATTATACCTCTCAAAACTTTTTAGAAAATGTGCTAACACAAACCCAATAACCGAAATCATTACAAATAAACTTGATACAGGCGAATTGAACCACTAGTATTAGATTTAGAAGTAACAGCAGTATACATGAACTTATAAAGTTCTTTTTCTTCTTCCCTAAAGAATACCATTTTTGTTACACAGGATGGATAGAGCAAAAAACTACAGACTAGAGAAACAGTGCAGGCTATTGGTAATAAGGGCTTTATGGCCTATCTACTTGTGGCACCAAGTGACATGAGTGACACAAAAATATCCTGATCAAAGAATGTTGGAAGAGAATGATTAACCTTCATAGTCCATCTGGGCAAACCTGTCCTCCGGATAAAACACTGCCACGACTTGATTCTCACCAAACCTCCTTCCATTCATCCCCGATCTGGCTTTTGATGCACCCTCGGCGTCTTCATATTCCAAGAACACCTGCAAGTACATAAGAACAGTTATCAGCAACTACTGCAAATGGCAAATTTCTAAAAGAAATAGTGACCATTGGCAGGAATTGAATAATAATTGACTTCACACTGACCTTTCCAACCCCAGGTGCTGGTTCACCATCTAGCCTTGGACGTGGAATAATCACATTCGCCAACTTCCCTGTGCATATCAAATAAAAAATTCTTGAGTTGATAGAATCCTCAGGGTAAACAATAAAAAATCAAGTGAAATATAGGTAGAAGGTTATAGATCTTCTGTCTTTGTATGTTAGGCTTGATCTTTATAGCAGAATGTGGGATCAAAAGGCTGTAAAAAGAGAAAAAAAAAAGAAAAAA